GACGAGAACATAAGGACACTGCAAGAGCTCAGACAGCGCAGATGACAGGGCTGGGAGGGTGGTCCACCAGGCCAGCTACAAAAGGCAGGAGAACTCCAGCCCCGCTGTTCTCAAGTTCTTGGTCTCAGGGTTCTCTACACTCTTCAAAACTACTGAAGCATAACCCACTTAAACAACAGCCACTCATCTTTACCGTATTAGAATCAAACTGAGAATTTAAAAAATATTTGTTAATTCAAGAATAACAACAAGCCTACCACGGTAGGATTTTATGAAACAATGTTTTTATGAAAAATAAGTATGTTTTCCAAAACCAAAAAAAGTACTGAGAAGAGTGGCACTATTTTTACAGTCTGCACATCTTTGTAACGTCTGACTTAACAGAAGAGAGCTGAATTCTCAAATGCTTCTGCTGCAACAGCACATGTCACGCAGCCTCTGGGGAGTCCCACCGTACTCCCATGAGAAAAGAAAGTGGAAAAGGCAAATCATGCCTAAGTGTTCTTATGAAGACAGCTTTGACCTTTCCGCCTCCTAAAAGGATCTCAGGGACTCCCAGGGTCTCTGGATCATACTTTGCAAACTGCTGATGTCAACAGGCACAAACATTAAATCAGGTATCAAATTTGGCTGGCACTTTTTGTATTTTGTTTTTGTCTGTCTGGTGGGGATGGAGGGGTTCGTATATCAGAATCACCATCACATTCCACCAAATTCTAATATACCTCTTTACCCCAAAGAGGGGAGAATTATTGCTGTAGAAAATACTATTACAAATAAAAGAACGCTCTGTTGGGTGTATTGGGGGGTAAGGAAAATGGTTAAGAATCACTGATTGACTTAGAGGTCTTACACGTAACAGAAGGCATCAGACGAAGCCTAGATAAATTAAGATGCTAACCCAAATTAGAATTAAGAATTGAAGCCTCCCAACTCAGTGTTCAAACTAAGATGAATTTATATTACTTGCATACATACTAATTATCAAGGAAGGAAAACCACCCCAAAATAAAACGAGTGGAACACTGAACATCTGCCATGGAAAATCCACGCACTGATGAGGTCAGGAGGACTGAGTTCAGGGCTGGCACTGAATGATTTGGTCTCAAACGCTGAGCCTGCTGAGGTCCATTTGTATAAACCTGGGGAAGGCATCCAGTTCTCCGAGGCTCCGATTTTTCCAACTGTAAAGCTGAAATACGGTATTACAGCACCAGCCGTTGTAAGTGGGAACGCACTTCAGCATTTAAGGTGCATCTGACATAGAAACTGTGTTTAATAAATGTTAGCTATTACTGGCAGTTTAGCTATTAAGAGTAATCTGTTTGTAATTAAACTCAACTATTGTGCTTGAGGGCTTTCGTCCTGTTCATTTCTTATCTGTTAGCATTTCCTTTTGTTGGATTTTTCTTTCAAGTCTTTAAGTCTGTTCCCCAAACATTTTAAAGCTCTTGTGTCTAAGGAAAAAAGTTTTGCATAGTACTCTAAATAAAAGTCCTCTAACCACTCACATTTTGAAAGGAAACTATGCTCCAACAATATGAGTTCTTTAGAGGACTTTTTAAGACTCTGAAACTAAATAGTGCCCAGCCCATCCTGATACTGCCTGTGACCGTCTACCTGAGGCCAGTCAATGCTCAGGCACATACTCCGTAACACCCCAGGGTTAATTTCCAGGCCAAGAAGAGACGGGCAATCCTATCTCTTTTCTGGGCTTCATTAAGTTCAAGCAAAGCTCAGTTTTCACCGTGAGCAATAGATGCCCAGGCTCCTTTGTTGTAATCATTTCTCGCCAAAATGCCCAGCCATTTTTCAGGTCATCAGATACTTCCTCTGTTGCCCTTCGTCTGTCTCTCCATAACTGCTCTAAATAAGTAGTGTTTCCTATGACAGCAACAGCAAGCAGGCCGAGTCAGTATTTCTCCCTGATACAAATTAATGTATCAAAAAGTATTTTTAAAATCTGTATTTATTATGTATTTTAATAAACAGCAACCTCAAGCATGGCACTTGTAAAAGTCTGAGTAATTTTAAATAAAGGAGCATTATTTCGAGAATAAAATCACCATTATTCAGATATTTCTCTAAAGGGCAAAACCTTTTAAAAAAGATCCCAGCACTGCATTCTAATGAAGACTAAGAAAAAGCCAGTCACAACACAACGTCTCAACTGTGCTCGCTAGTCTTTCAAAAAATAAACCAGGCTGCTTATGCTCTCTGGTAAGCAGGTGAGAATCTCTTTATTTCTCAAAAAACAAAAACAAAAAAAACAAACAAAAAAAACAAAACAAGCCCAACTTTAAAAGAACCTCGGTAAATCAGCAACCTAACCACATAAATGAATTTCACAGATTTCCAGGGCTGACAGTTACTGGTTTTATGACCCTGTTCAACTGACTTCACCCTTTGGAACTTCCGTTTCCTCCTCTGCGCGGTGGCTAAGGACACCTCTGCACAGGACTGCTGGGACAGTCAGATGGGATATTTATAAAGAGGACTCAGCAAAGTGACCAGCACATGGAAGTCAGTCTGCCACTCAAGTTTCAAAGTCAAAGTCCAGACACTCTATTCAATGGTCCTATTTCTAACACAGTGAGGACAAACCCTGTCCATGTCAAGTCTATATATTTACTGTAACAAGACACCACAGGCAGACTAAGCATTCAGCAAGCACTAATTTTCCCAGTTTCTTCATTTCTTACCTAAAAGTCATAAAAAAAAAGTCCATTCACACAAGCTTTTTCTCTCACAAAACTTCAGCGTGGACCATGTATTTTATGCAAACAGCATGGGGTTCTGACAGGTAACTGGACAATTTGTTCATCATTCCAACAGATGGTTGTGTGTGTTCTTAGTTTTTCTTTCAACAGACTATCAAGGATTAGGGTCTTGCCGTAAAGAACTAGTTTCCAGAGGTGCCCCAGACGGACAGAGGAGTCCTTGTACTCTGCAAGGAGGAGTATGGATTCTTATTTTTAATTATTACAACTATCTGGTTATTCTTATTAATATATGAATTGCTATTTTCAAAACAGGAAAGATATGTTAGCTCTTACTGGGAAGAGATGGAAGCTATCACTATGAAATTGGATACTATCTTCAAAACTCCCCTTTGTTTTTTAATTGATTAACATGGAGAATTCGCTGTCAAACTGGCATTTCAGACAGGCCTGACCTGGCGGAACCCCGTGACACGAGTCACCTGGGCAAATTTCCTCTGACTCTAACACACTCAGATACAACAGCAACACCCAGAGTAACAGCTTTACTTTCCTAGGGATGCACGTTCAAGTTGCCAGCATCCCCACACGGGCGCTACCCTCCCACCTCGTATAGAAAGCCTGCGTCCAAGGGAAGCATGCTG